AGCACGCCCCTCCCATGGCGCGACGTGTCCCGACTGGTCGCTCGTCGCCATGGTATGCAGGCGTTAGTGACCAACTCCGTCTGGCAAAACTCGTGCGAAGACGCGCTGAAAGACGCTGGGTAAAGACCGGACTGAGTGTCGACAGACAGATCTTTTGGACAGCGAAAGATGCGGTGGCAGAGATTGTACAGAGGGCAAAGGATGACTACTGGAGTTCAAAGGTCGAATCATGTGCATCAACCAAGGCGTTGTTCAGCGCTAGTAACCGTCTCCTTGGCAATAGCAAGAATTTCACCCTCCCTACCGACATTGCACCAGAGCAACTCCCTGACGCCTTTGCGGACTTTTTCATCACCAGGGTGCAAACGATCAGGGAGGAGCTAGACAGCGCGACCCCTACACCTTCCTCACCGTTCTCGGAGGACGTTAGTCAGACAGAATCATTTGATAGTTTTCTGCCTGTGACTGAGGATGAGGTGAGGCGAGTCATCATCAGGTCTGCTCCCAAGTCTTGTGCCCTCGATCATATCCCCGTCCCACTGCTTGTAGAATGCCTTGACGTCCTCCTCCCAGCACTCACCTCCATCATAAATTCTTCGATTCTCTCTGGCATATTCCCTCCCATTTTTAAACGGTCGATTGTCCTGCCCCTCAGACCCAAAACAGTTTCTAGTTACAATTAATAAGATTTATTAAGTCTTAAGATAATTACAAAAGAAAAGAAAATATAATTACAATCTTCAACTTACAGTATGGTAGATCTTGTACCGGTACACAGTTAACACAGTTAGAATAATGTGCCAATAAATAATGAGAAATAAACAAATATGAGCACACAAATACACAAAGAATAAAACACGCCTCGTAAAGTTAATAATATCTATCTGAATCTCCGTCTCTTTGTATCTGTCAATCCTTTATATACATGTAGCGTAAGACGCTTCCAGAAGGACCTATGACGTGTTGTTTACATATCTCGGGTTAAGGAGTACGTTCGAGAAGATACCCGGAGACATTCTACCCAATGCATAATTGGAAGCCGATTGTAAACAAGATACATCAAAGAGATTTAACCACGCCCACAACAGACGTTACTGTCTGCTAGGAGTGTACTGCGAGGTTGAGGAAAGTTTACGCACAGGAAATTGTGCTACATAACAATATGTTAAAATAAATTGACAGTGAAAAGCATATCTCAGCTTCATTTTCATTCATACTTCAAGTTTATAATTAATCCAGGGGTTTCCCAAGCTATGTCCAGATAAATAGTAGACTAAATTGAGTAAAAGGTTCGTAACAATTTTATTTTTTAACACTGACAATTTGTTGTATTAGGAAACAAAGTCTGCAGTACAAGATCTGGGTCTGAATTTACTTATCAACAATGCTGCAATTTATGACAGATCAGATAGTGGAGGCATCAGAGTTCAGACAAGAGCAAAAATGCAATATCACTTTAATGTCAACACATCTAGTAAGTTAATGTAATTTCTTTTTAATTACTGGTACCTAACTGCTTTGCCTGTATTTTTTGCTCTACAAATAAAATATTTTTAGTGTGCATAGAAATTGGTTCATATTTTGTTCACACTATAGTCCGGCCCCTAACAGTGTGTAAGTTCTAAGGGACAGTGAACTAGCGCTCTGTTAAAAAATTTTGAGGACAAGTCAAGCCACAAAAGTGTTTCTTTGTTTTGAGTAGATTTTAACTTGAACGAGATGTCCTGCCTCCATTATTCATCTACTAGACTGCGCCAGCTGCGTAACCTTCTAGCTGATAGCTATCTCCTTAGTAGTGAAATTCTTGCACGATGTAGAACACTTCAATTAATAAAAAAGAAAACTGCAAGAAGTTTTCGCGGGGGAAAAAGGAAGATGAGATCTCGTCACTCAGCTCCTTCCACCTCAACACCTGACCATATGCATCAACCCACTTCTCCCCAGTTTGCCCTCAAATATACAATGAAAGTAAATTGGTCTTTTGAGACGCAGCAATCGATGCATATCCATGTGGTGACAGATGTGTTTGAACGCCTTCCTGTTCGTCCAAAGCGCGTACCATGGGTCCCACTTGACTCCGGACGTATTCGGCGCAGCAACGTCATTGTCATCAGCGGCCGCCAGAAGCTTCCAGACCAACTACGAGTAGGCCACTATAACTGCCAATCCGTGGGCTCAAAGTGCGGGGCGAAGCGAACAAAGATAGTAGAGTTCGTAAAGGACGAATTTGTTGACGTGCTGTTCCTGACGGAGACTTGGTTGAGGTCAACAGGGGATGATGCCAAGTGTGCTGACCTCACGCCACCGGGTTTCGATATTAAGTCCTTTCCGCGTGCTACGCGAGGTGGCGGCCTCGCTGTCATTTATCGTAGCCACCTCCCAGTGACTTTCACCTCCACATTCCCATTCCAGCACACCTCTCTAGAACTTGTTCAGTTCACCCTCAACACGCCCCACACTGTCAACATGTTCTGCTTGTACCGCACTCCGCCCAGTAAGAAGAACAAGCTCCTAAACTCCACCTTCCTCTCTGAGCTCCCTGACCTACTTGACTACTGCAACCTGCTCCGTGGAACAAGTGTGATCGTGGGCGACCTTAACGTTCACTATGACGTCCCTACTGATCCCTTTACTAGCAAGGTACTAGACATCCTCACAAGGTTTAGTCTTGTCCAGGGCATTAAGCAGCCCACCTACTATCGCAGCGGCCACATCATCGACTGGGTGGTGTACCGTGATGACGACAACTTGGTGGACAGCTGTACTGTGAGTCATATGCTCTCCTCTGACCATGCAGCGGTGCTCACTACACTCAACGTAGTTCCCCCAAAGAACCCACCTGTCTACAGGACCGTGCGTGACATAAACGCTATAGACAGAGCAGCCTTCAAAGCCGGCATTAAGACAATGCTTCAAGGGCTAGGTGCTGAGCTCAGCGCTCAGCATCTGGACGATGGCCTCCGAGCACTTTTGGACGAGCACGCCCCTCCCATGGCGCGACGTGTCCCGACTGGTCGCTCGTCGCCATGGTATGCAGGCGTTAGTGACCAACTCCGTCTGGCAAAACTCGTGCGAAGACGCGCTGAAAGACGCTGGGTAAAGACTGGACTGAGTGTCGACAGACAGATCTTTTGGACAGCGAAAGATGCGGTGGCAGAGATTGTACAGAGGGCAAAGGATGACTACTGGAGCTCAAAGGTCGAATCCTGTGCATCAACCAAGGCGTTGTTCAGCGCTAGTAACCGTCTCCTTGGCAACAGCAAGAATTTCACCCTCCCTACCGACATTGCACCAGAGCAACTCCCTGACGCCTTTGCGGACTTTTTCATCACCAGGGTGCAAATGATCAGGGAGGAGCTAGACAGCGCGACCCCTACACCTTCCTCACCGTTCTCGGAGGACGTTAGTCAGACAGAATCATTTGATAGTTTTCTGCCTGTGACTGAGGATGAGGTGAGGCGAGTCATCATCAGGTCTGCTCCCAAGTCTTGTGCCCTCGATCCTATCCCCGTCCCACTGCTTGTAGAATGCCTTGACGTCCTCCTCCCAGCACTCACCTCCATCATAAATTCTTCGATTCTCTCTGGCATATTCCCTCCCATTTTTAAACGGTCGATTGTCCTGCCCCTCCTAAAGAAACCCTCACTTGATCCAAACACACTCAAGAATTACCGCCCCGTCAGCAACCTCTCCTTTCTCTCAAAAATCATAGAAAAACTCATACTCTCTCAGCTCTCTGGCTATCTTCATTCTCGCAATCTCTATCCTTCCTCTCAGTCCGCCTACCGACTTGGTCATAGCACAGAAACAGCACTGGTCCGAGTCATGAGTGACCTCCTGCGCGCGATGGACGATGGCAAACTCTCTATTCTCACTCTGTTAGATCTCTCTGCTGCATTTGATACCATTGACCACCAGATTCTTCTTGACCGCCTTCATCTTTCTTTCGGACTTACTGGCTCAGCTTTAAACTGGTTTCAATCATATCTTTCTGACAGAACTCAAAAAGTCTCTATTTCCAACCGCTCTTCCAAACCTTCAGCCCTGTCTATTGGAGTTCCTCAAGGATCGGTCCTTGGGCCGGTCCTTTTCATCCTCTACACTAAACCTCTATCATCTCTCATTAGCCACCACTCAGTTTCCAGTCAATCCTTTGCTGATGACACTCAAATCAGTGACTCTTGCTTTCCTGATCAACTTGATGCCACAATCCTTCGCATACAGGAGTGCGTGGACGATGTAAAGCGTTGGATGACTTGCAACAAACTGAAGCTAAATGATGATAAAACGGAAATCCTTCTCATCCACTCTCAAAACAAACCTCTCCCTCCATTCGCTCCTTCTTCTATATCTATTGGCAACTCTGACATCACACTCTCTCCCTCTGCCAGAAACCTTGGAGTCACGCTTACGGACACCCTCTCCATGGACAAACATGTCACGAATATATGCAGATCAGCATATAACGAAATTAGAAAAATCAGCACCATTAGACACCTCCTCTCCTTTGATGCCACAAAAACTCTCGTCTCTTCACTCATTCTTTCAAAATTTGACTACTGTAACATTCTTCTCTCAGGCATTCCTCAACACCACATAGAAAAACTTCAGAAGGCACAGAACTCAGCATGCAGACTCATTTTTAAATCAAAGAAACATGACCACATTCAACCACACATGCGGCAACTCCACTGGCTTCCAATATCCTCTCGCATCAAATACAAGTCTGCCAATCTTTGCTTCAACTCGTTCACTGACCCTCACTTTCCTGTCTATCTCTCTGAACTGTTGCTTCCTTACATCCCCACAAGACAACTACGTTCTTCCATTGACAGTAGAACCCTCTCAATCCCAAGAACTAAAACTAAGACCATCGGTGAACGCTCCTTCTGCTTCCATGGGCCCACGTTCTGGAACCAGCTCCCCTTCCATATACGTCATAGTGAAACCTCGTCCATTTTCAAAAAGTCCCTTAAAACTCATCTGTTTAGGTCCGCCTATGACCTGTGATGCACCCTCCTTGCCCTACCTCATTTTCTGTTTCGGGTTGATCCTGAAGTGTCAAAGTGTCCTCGTTTTATAGCCATTTTCATTGTTTCTATAGAATAGTAGTTACTATCCTAGTGTCTCATTTGTATTTACTTAGTTTACATGTTTTAATAATTGTAAAGCGCTTAGAGCTTTATGATAAGCGCTATGTAAAAATGCCTAAATAAATAAATAAATAAATCTGTTTTTTTCTCATTACAATTACAAGCTTGTTTGAACAACAAAAGAGATCAAAGTTCTTATCAAATTTAATTCTGTTAGGCCCAATTCTTGTGACCCAGAAGTTCCTGCCTCTCCTCCAACAGGCGGCAGCTCAGAGTACTTCCAAGCAAATGAGCTGCAGTAAAGCAAGCATTGTCATGATGTCCTCAAGAGTTGGTTCTCAGAATGTTGCTTTTAATGATGGGCCTGAAGCATCTTTGTCATTGCACTACAAGTAAGGCTACTTTCATATTTTATCTCTTCTCAATAGAACTTTTTAACCCTAAACAATCACAACTGCAAATAATTGCCCCTTTCTGTGGTGTCACAGCAGCCGCTAGCAAAATCTAGTGATTTAATGTACGTTGGTTAAGGGGAAATCACTCTATAGAGAGGAGTTTGTTTCCTATTTCCATCTTTTTTGTGTGTAAACATGCTTTTATCAGGCCCTATTTGTGATTAATCGGGAGTGAAATTCACTCAATTGCTTTGACTGCCCCTATCTCTGATGCTGGAGAGAGTTCCCCTTTAGACTGCAAAAACAACACAGACTTCCTTAATTGGAATTATTTCAAAAGGATTAAATTAAAATGAAAACACTTATTTCAGAGATATTCCACATGCTAGTATTGATAGTATTAGCTTTAGCAGTGATGGCGACATTAGCTATTGACAATTTTAGCTCCAAGCATAGTGGTATTGATGCAAAAGAAAAATGCACTGGACGGACATGGTGTTGAAGATCTCAAATTTTTTAACCCAGCTAATGAATATTTAATTCTTTGAATGAAATACCATAATTACAGCTTCAGGCCTTAAAATGATTCTTTATAATATTTTTCTTTGTTTTTTTAAGGTGCTCGAAGTCAGCTTTGAATATGGCAACAATAATGATTTCAAGGGAGCTAAAAGACAATGGGATATTGGTGTTTGCACTGCATCCTGGTTGGGTTAAAACTAAAATGGGCACTGATCGGGCACCACTTCAACCTTCTGATAGTATTAAAAGTTGTTTGGAGCTCATTTCTGCTGCAGGTGAAGACATTCATGGTAGGCTTGTTACAATTGATGGTGAAGTTCTACCATACTAGTTAAGTTGCTGTAGTGACCAAAAAACAAATTGACATTGATTTCATAACATTAAAATGGTTAATGGTGTCCAAACAGAAGCTACCAGATGTGTCCTGATACATCCCTCTCTGTTGAATTGATGCTGCAATAAGCAGAGTTCACATCCCTGAGACTTCTAACTTTAAATACCCAGATGGTGCTAAGATTTTGGTTATTTCAGTTGTTATTTTGATTATAACTGTGCTATTACAACCAATTTAAAATGTATATATCAATATCATATGTTGGTACAAATGCAACTATTCATTAATCTGTCATTGCTCTTTACTTTCTCGGCTAGGAGTCTTGTTGCTTTTCCATTCATTTCAGACTTTTAAAAAATTTTAAATATGTTACTCTTAAATTTAAAAACATCTGAGCTCCTTTTCTTTTGTTCAGATATAATGATACATAAAGGAAGTCAGACAGCAGAGGGTGATGATTGAAAAAAATTGCACTAACTTTATTCTGAAATTATTCTGAGTTATAAAAAAAAATGGAAATACAGAAATCTATGAAGGATTGATATTATATCTACTGATACATAAAGTGTTCATTTTCCCTATCGTATGTGTTTGTTAACAGGATATGGTATTATTGCCAGGTAATTTTGTTTAGTGTTACTGTATGCACAGAAATGTATCAAAAGATCAAAGTTGTGACAGTTTTTCTTAGTTGTTTCTAAGTAGAAAAGAAATGAGGCTGACAAGCAAACACTTAACTTGATTCCAATATACATATTATGAACTCTCATGACATTCATTTTCATGGCGGAGCTTGAATTAAAAATGTGTGACATTTTTATGAGTTTATTACTTTATGAAAACTTTTTGCAATCCTTATGTGACTAAGAATTTTCTAAATAAAAATCACAACAATGTATGTACTATTTAACTGGAAAACTGGTTGATTGATTCTTTTTGTATGACTATAAATTACTATCATCAATGTATTTATATCAATAAAATGTATTACAATCACTTATTTACAGTTATTCAATTAAAACGGCTTAAAAATAAATAAATTGTGTTATTAATCTCTTATACTTATTAATATTTCGCTTCTGGTGTGGCTGCTTCCTATTACCAACTACCCTCTCTCTACTCAACATGTTTTATATTAATAGTAACCGAGTAAGAAAATAAAGGGTGTCAAGCAGCAAGCGTCATGTGGGACAGTCAAACTCAGGTAAAAGGTTAAATTCTTTTGGAGGCGACTATTATATTAATCAATAAAGAGCGGCTGGTATGGTTTAGGACTACTGTTTAAAGATCGGGAGGTATGATATAGGAATGGCTGTAGGTCTATTGTTTAATAGTTGACACATAGGGTGTAGGGCTGTGTTTGGGCCTATTGTTTATATAGTAACAGAGAAGGTAACTCTTTTTTGTAACACTTGGACCCTCTGGATATTTTCTTAAAATAACCGGACCTTGGGTAAAAATTGCATCCAGTTAAGCCCTAGTCTTTGTTACTATTGTTTTAGTTTCCTTCAGAACTACCATATTTGACACATTTTCAATATTATCCATTTATTGTTCACTTTTTGTCCAGTTCTGAGATGATGACTAACTTTTTATTATAAATTCCGTATGAATCCTTTGGAAGATAAATTACATTTATCATTTAGTTACTTTGTAAGTAGCACATTTTTATTTGTAGGAATATATTCAATTCATTTATGAAAAATAATTTTAGGCCTATTTTATTATTTTTTCATTAAATTAAACTGCATCCTACCTACACTAATCTTCATCAATAATGCAAAGCAACGATGAAAGTAATTTCAGTTCAAATTTTTTTAATTGGCATTGAGAAACCCTTGTGATGATAATTTTAAGAGGGTAATGTTAACCATATCACCTTGTCATATGGCATAAGAAAATGTTGACATTACTGAAACGGTTTTTCAGTGGGTAATGGAAATTATGTTAGAATATAAAGTGAACAGTTACACATACTTCATTGATTTAACAGGTATTTATTATTCATATTGTTTTCCAATCCAGTATTGTCGACTGATATTGTATATATCAGAAATTCAACACAAAAAAAAATTATAAAGGATTACTCTATTACTATTATATAGATATAGTTCTTCCAATGACTTTAATATATCACAACAACCGCTAAGCACAAATATTCAAATCATTTTATGTAAATTTAACACTGTAAAACTAAAACCTAATATTAACAACATAATATGAATTAGTGTGTCAGTGTTTCAAAGAACATTAACAGAAAATATCAGCTTTTAACTAAAAGTCATTCAGTGAAAAAAATCAATTCTTGTCAAATGTCTAACCACTACCATAATAAAGTTGACTTCTTCCCTCTTTTCCAGCCTTTTCTAAATCAATGACGCTTTTATCTGCATCAACCCAGTACCAGCCTTTGTAATCCAATCTGTCACTCATAAGTGTGCGACATTTCTTCTCAAGCTGACTGGAAATAGAGATTTTTTAATTTTAAAAAATTTAAGAATCATTCTTAACAAAGCCCAATTATTTACCACAAGTACTCCTAATAATAGCAAGTTCTACCACACTGGTAAACATAATGAGTATTTTTAACAGCTTACAAAAAAATCCATTACATACATAATCCAAACAGTATTAGCCTTTATAAAAACAGGAATGACATGTGTCTCTAATTTCTAAGTATTGTTGATTCAAAATACCTAAAAATACTAGTAATATAGGTCACATTTGTAAATTAAAGAATATGTTAAGTATTTATGTGGCCCGGGGTTTAAAAATAAAAAATTATTACAATAAGTAAAACATATGCAGACAAAAATGAAACCAAACTCAAATTCACAAACTAGAGTTCTATCTTCAAAGCACATATAACGGAACCCTTATAACGTAAAGAAAAATATTAAGTCACTTTTAATGAAGCACACATGTTAATAAGTGAGTGCCACTCTAGAATTATTATAGATTATGATAAAAATAGTGCCTGGAAAGTTGGCAATGTGGGATGCTGATGATAGCAATATACTTATGTACCATCAAGAATATGAAGAGGGCAAAACCTAAAGAATAATCTTATAGACATTGGAGAGGTTATATTACACCTCCTGTCTTTTCTTTTTTCAAGCCTTTATTATATCTTGTTCCCCATCTCATTTGCATAACCATAAGTCTGCAAAGGAAGAACTCAAGAGAAACCTTGCTATAGATTTATGGGAGTGATAACTACCATGCACTGCGTAAAACACAGTCCATTTTCAAATACCCTGACCTCATCTCAGCATTTTATAATCATATCCACCTGCTTAATAGTAATAGACAATTTTAACTATTTTTTAAAAGACATCTTATGATCTACTGTTAATATCATATCTTGGACTTCATACTAAATAAATTCAAACTGAAATGTCAACACGCATCAAGATATTTTATTTTAAGAAATATGAGACTTACTTCCAGTATCTTTCTTCCCTTCTGAGATGAAGCACATGAAGTGTTCTTTCATATTCTTTTTGAGGCTCATCGTAGATATACTTAGCAAACCACCTCTTTATTGGAGTCTGTTTATTGTGTTGAAAAATGTAAGAATTAACTTTTATGTTTTAAAATAAAAACAAAGATTTTTATATAAATCCTTCACAAAAGTTTGTATTGAAAAAAAAAAAATTGGGGGGGGGGGGGTTGTAACAAATAATTTGTCAAAACATGCATTTAAGTAATACACTTTATAAGGATCCCAATTAGTGTTCCCCCCCAATAGCTTTCAATTGCACTTTTTTTCAGGCCCTGAACTATATTAATATTCCAACTGCCACCTGCTTTTCAACAGCAGATTTATATCACCAACAATTTTAGAAATACGAAAGAAAATATTACGCACTTTTTTAAAGAATCTCATGCAGATATTGAGAATTTCATTTTATCTTACCCTTGAAAAACAGAAAAAACTTATTTTTGGGGGGTGGGGCCTGAAAATTCAATAGAATGTGTTGTCATCTGCAACATGTCTATGTGCCAAGTTTCAGCCGATTAATTAATATAAAGAATATTTTTGAATTTCTATTTCTTAAAGACATGAAGGGTAAAATGGGTAACTGAGTTTGCTTGCACAGAGAGTTTACCACAAAAACTGATGAGCATAGAACTGACTCTGTAAATATAACTATTGTATACCTTGTAATATTCCCATTCTTTTGGCTCATAGCCTTCAGGGATATCTGAGAGCTCAGCAGGACCTGTGAAATATATTTTTTATTATGATTAAATAATGTGCACACAATAGAGTACCCACTTCACCCCACTTTTTCCTCCCTTAATACATGCTCCACTGAATGTAAAAGGACCATTGCTGGCATAATGATACTTAGCACCCTTTTTATTTGTTGAGTTTATGACTCCATTTGTTCTGTTGAACTAACTTCTGCTGGATCAACATTCCTTCCAAAAAATTTGTTTTTTATCAATTTCAGGATACAAGCATGAATAGCTACTAGTACTAATTTCTTAAACTTTTATGACACATGAATACATATATAAATATATTTTTCACCCAGAAAAATTGATAGCTCATTTCAAAATAAATAAATTTTATGCTAATTACACTCACCGATAAAAATATTTGCATATGTTATAATAGCAAACAAGGGCACAAGACCTAGCATGATGTAGAAATGCTGGTAAAGAAGAAGAAAAAATAAATTATATGCTATACAGAAATCAAATTTTGTGAACAATTGTGTAATTATTTTTAAAAAAATAATAAATTAGTATTTATATATAATATATATTTTTAAAAAATATTGCTTATCTAAACTTCATTGTCATTCACACTTTACTAATGATCTAAACTTACTAAATCATCCTTGTATCTGGTCCATTCAAAGTTTGAGGGAACAATCACCATTTTGCGTTCATGGCCTGAATTTCTTACTGAAACTAAGAAAAAAGTTAAACTTGATATTATTACCTTACTCTATTGTAAAGAAATGTTTTCAGAAATTTATCCTCAGACAAATTTTAAATGAAATGCAGCAAAAACTTGACCCCCACAAATTTGCTTATAAATCTGCATGAAGTACAGTCGATGCCACCTTACTATAATTGTATATGATGATAGAATACTTTTATAGCGCATGCGTCCATGCTATTTTAACATGCTCACAGCGCTCTGATGTCCTAAAATCTATTTAAAGAAAAAAAAGGCAACATGAAAAAATATGATAGAGTGCTTTTCCTAGACTTCTCATCGGCATTTAACACTATCCAACTCCACCTTATGATTAAAAATTTTATTCATAAGTTGAAAATTCAAATATTCAAGCATTGATAATGAACTTTTTAACAAAATCCCCCACATTATGTCAAGGTGAATGACCAAATATTAACTAGAGAAATAAGTGCTGGAGTGCAACACCGTTCCAATCATTAAATTTCTGGAGTGCCATCTGAAATTATTATTATTACAGATTATGCACCCCATTCCGGTATTTTACATGTGCTATGTGGTTACGTTGTCCCAACTAGTTTGATATTAACTCTCTGCACCCCACCCCCCTTTTTTGTTTCTAAATACAAAAAAAAATTTTAATATCTGAATCCAAAACACTAATTCACTAAGCAGCTGCACCTTAATCTATTTTACCAAAGTCCTCATAATTCACTTGAAGCAATTAAATCAAATACAAAACACACAAAAAGTTTAATACAATATTTTCTAAGTAGAAAAGTAGATAGATAGGAAATAGATATAAAACGTGCCAAAGTGTCCTCGTTTTATAGCCATTTTAATTGTTTCTATAGTATAGTAGTTACTATCCTAGTGTCTCATTTTTATTTTACTTAGTTTACATGTTTTTAATAATTGTAAAGCGCTTAGAGCTTTAAGGTAAGCGCTATATAAAAATGCCTAAATAAATATATAAATAAATATAACCACACCAAAAAAAGCCTTCAAAAACATCTTAAGTGTTAGGCCTAAGTCTATCAAGCTAATTTAACTACTGAAGTTTGGAGGCTTGACAACTTAGAAAAGTATATATAATAAATACAGTAGAGCATCAAAGAGACTGGGGGTGTTAATGATAAAAAAAAAAAAATTCTGATAACATAACACATCCTGCAGAAAAGTTGCATTAAAGAAGTTAGTGTATAGAATAAATTAGTTATACATGCATGGTATTTATGACTTTTTAGATTTGTATTTAGTCCTGCAAGTTTCTCACTTGCCTTTCTCTTTAAAGAGCAATTAAGACAATCCTTTCATAAACTTAAAAGGTCACAGGTGGATGGACCTGATCCACTTGTTGATGATCCAGGTTCTGAAGTACTAAATAACATCTGGAATATTTTCATCTAAGTTAACTTTTGGATTAGGAACACTAAAAAAAGAAAACTTTTCTGATAAAAGTTTCACCTAGTCATTCCAAAACTGTGATTTGGATTTAATTAATTTTTCATACTATTTACAATAACATTTTTTAGAATTTGTAATGGTAAATGCAAAGAGTTTGGGCTATGTTTTTTCCCTTGGTCGCCATCATGATTGACACGACCCATGAAAGGTCACGGATCAGGTCAACCAAGATGGCAGCCGAGAAAAAAAAAGTAGTGTAAACACACAGGAAAAAAAAAGGGAGAGGGTGGGTGAAAATATGTTATTTCAACTACTTACTGAAAGATATGAAAATGGGAAAATAAGCAATTTAACAGGAACTATTTTTTTTTAAAGGAAATTAATAGTAGTTTTTCAAACGTTGGTTTCCAAAAAAATCTAAATAAAAATATTTTTTTTTTTTTTTTATAATTGAAAAATTAGCAAAAAACATGTAACTTTAATGAAGTAAAATCAGGCGATACGTAATTTTAGTGGTTGGCGGTCACAATCCCTAAACCTAACCTGAACCCTAAATCTAAACCTAATCTGAACGCTAAACCTAACCTGAACCCTAAATCGGTAAATCAAACCCGAAAGCCTAATCTCCTAAGTCTAAGCCTAAACTTCAAGTAAAAAACATGGGCTACAGTTACTCATAGAAAGAAAATTGTAAAAATGAAGAAAAACTAAAAAATAATAGTAAATAATGAAAACCCAACTTACAGTTTCATTTAATACAGTTTTACACACTTTATTTCAGGTTCCAACAAAATTAAAATCCAAAAGTTATAAGAAAATCAATAAAATACATTATTTATTTATTTAGGCATTTTTATATAGCGCTTACCTTAAAGCTCTAAGCGCTTTACAATTATTAAAAACATGTAAACTAACTAAAATAAAAATGAGATATTAGGATAGTAACTACTATACTATAGAAACAATTAAAATGGCTATAAAACGAGGACACTTTGGCACGTTTTGGCCTATATTACAGGATTAGCCCGAGACAGAAAATGAGGCAGGGCAAGGAGAGTGCATCACAGGTCATAGGCGGACCTAAACAGATGGGTTTTAAGGGACTTTTTAAAAGTGGACGAGGTTTCACAATGACGGATATGGAAGGGGAGCTGGTTCAAAGCCATTTTCCAAAATTGTATGCTTAGCAGTAGTGAGCACAGTGATGTAACGTCATTTTTAATCACTCCTTTTTCTATATCCACATAATTTTAAAGTACCTGATTAAAAAATTAATTTCTCTATTTTTCATTAACATTTCAAACTTTCTAAAGTTTCCACACACTCACAATGACACTAAATAACAAAATTATGGCAAGTAATTGTTGACATAAAATGTAACTTTTATTTTAATATCCATTAATTATTCACATTAACTTTTCTAGCAACAATTAAAAATAAATGTTGAAATATTCGTTCGCTGTCACTTCTTCCAATGAATTAACATAAATTTTTCAAGAAATGTGGTAAATTAAAGTTTTATGTTTATTTGAAAATAATCAATTAATTTTGTCATTCATATGAAAATAAAATCAGAAAACAACCAAACAAACCAATATTTAACTAAATATTCCTTGGTGTATTAATATTAATACATAAAAAAATTATTCTCTAAAAATATACGAAGGGGAATGACTCCTGCAAGAATCTTAACTCTTTCGCTGCGGAAAAACGCATACTGTGTTCATCCGCAACTCTCAAAAGCACAGACCAATACTCTGCACAGTATCATGTTTGTTTCTTTGCTATTTCTTGGTTAAACTTTTTAAGAGCTATATTTAAATAAGACTTTTACTTAAAAGAGTGGTACTTCATTGTTTATAAGCGAAACCAAGGTTTATTTGTTGTCATTTGAAGCATTATTTTAATTATTTTCTTCGGTATTTTTTTCTACTGTTGCTATGGCTACTCTAGGCCCTAGTAGGTGAGTAAGTTTCCTAGACGATTAACCGTTAACAGCTCAAAAAGCTTTGGAACTGTTTTGTACTATATCTTTTGATAGTGAAGATGATTTGTATTTAGATCAATTGGATGATTTTGATAGTAGTTTTAGAGGATTTGAGTTATAGAAGTGAAGATGAGGTATGAATGCGTACATCATGAATTGGTATGCGTACATCATGAATTATAGGATTTGGGCGAAAAAATGGTTTAGCATATCCCATGTTATGGTTCTTTTCTGTAATAAGGGGAGAGACTGCAATCAGGTTAGTACAAAATAAAATGAGTAAAACAGAGTATGGTTAAACCTGAAAAATTAAACGCAACAAAACAGCGAACGTGTCGGCAGAAAGCCTTCGTCAGCGAACAAAACAACAGAAAAAACGTTATAAAAATAAGACTGTTGTTTTGTTCGCTGACGAAGGCTTTCTGCCGACACGTTCGCCGTTTTGTTGCGTTTAATTTTTCAGGTTTAACCATACTCTGTTTTACTCATTTTATTTTTTTTTTAATTTTCTGTAACTTATTTTATTTAAACTGAAGAAATAAGTTTACAAACATATCATATAGACCTCTAGTCCTTTCAATAATCTTTCATTTGATACCAATTTTAGTTTAATAAACCAAAAAATAATATTTTAAATTTTTTTTAATAAACCCAATCTCTCTCAATTTTTTGCCTTCGAAAAATAATGTACATTTTTTTAATAAAAAAATTCTGCGGGAAAGAGTTAAATAAACACGTAAATGACGTCATGCATTCGCTTTGCATGGACCTTCATAATGTTAACTATTGACGTATTATTAGCTGTTAGTATAAGTAAAGTAAAAGCATTAAGATTACTTTGATTGAAAAAGTTTTTTTTGTACTGTAATTATTATTATTATTAGCCTCCATGATATATAATATAATATATAACAATAACATTTGGCTATTTGGAGCTGGTAAGAGTCGTTTGCATTTCTAAAAGTATTGCCTTGGCAGTTAGTTAGTTCATTACCTTGCCCTTGTAACTGCAGTTGCTTTTGCAGAGGGACCCGAAATAATTTTGAATTTAATAATGCTAAACGAAGGCTTTGCGATAAACAAGGCCTAAGTAAGCTCATTCCTGCCATTTTTTGGTATTCGAGTAACCTAACCTTGAAAAATAAATTATTCACACAATCGTTTTCTTCTATTCTCACAACAATCTCACGATCCAAAAAAATCATTTTCCTCGTAGTGGTCTTGTGTTAAAGACAAATGATAATAATCAAAGAAATATTATTGAAAATGTGTTTCTATTGGATTTGAAACCCGTAACCGCTTATAAAAAACAAATCATTTCATTAGTATGCTATTTAACAAGGAATACTGTGAATCTGTGAAATTGGTAAATCTACTCATATGAATAGCTAATTTGTATTTTATACTGCAGAGGTATATAAACAACTCAAGTACTCAAATTTACCGATATAACTTTGAGATTGTGCTATAATTTGTGTACCGTTTTATAACTTTAAAATTTAACAAAAAGTATAAAACAAGAAACGAGGCAGTTTTTCTCCCTCTGCACTGGAATAACCATAACGATCAATATAAATGGGTAGATTTTTAATGTTTTTCTCGTATGTTGGCTCAAGATACAGGCAAGTAAATGGACTTGGTCACTCATAATGATGTTGAACCGTTGCCGTTGTTGTTTTTGAACTTGAAGTCAGGTTAATTTAAATTCTATGTAATGTAGGCCTATTAAATACGGTAATCTACCACTTGAGCGTCGGCCAAGAAAAAATCCAGCTTTCTGGTTGGTAGGGCTATTTAAACAACTATTCTTATATTATTTTTAATGACATTGGTTGTACGTATTCATTCCCATAGACATTTTTTTTTTTTAAATAGAAAAACTATAACAATTTTTTTTGAAATAGAAGATAATGTGTGAATATGGAATTATGCATAGTTCTCCCCCAAGTTGACAATGAAGTTTTTAAAAATATAATTTTCACGAAAACAGTTGTGGTACATGAATCACGTAAAAATGAAGGGGAAAGACCACCGGCGCTTCTTGTGCCAAACTGTCTTTTCAGTTTAAGCTTTTTGAGTATTCACGTTTTCCACATTCTGTGTGTGGACATCTGCGTCATCTGGATCCCAAAAAAAAGTAATAATTGTAGTCTCCTTTTCTTCCTGGCATATCGGTAGCTTGGCAGTAATAATTATTTAAATGTATTAGTATTGTGGTATATAACTTATAGCCTATATGAAAGCAAAAATATTAACAGACTGCAATGCAAGAATAGTTTAAATAGCCCTTCCAACCGAAATAACTGGATTTTTTCTTGGCCGACGCTCTCAAGTGGTAAATTACCTTAAATACTACTATTATTAAGGTTCTTTTTTTTTTTTTTTTTTTTTTTTTTTTTTTTTTTTTTTTTTTTTAGGGGGGGGGGGGGGTATTTTTATTAGGAGGAGAAAAAAAAAGCTGGGGATTGAACTTCTAGGTACTTAAAAACTAGTCAACGCATCGATCTGCGATGTCCAAAAGTGTCAAAAAAACTTGTTCTACAATATGGCGTACTGCTTCATGGTTTCTTTGGAAAATTGCATACTACGTCACCTTTGTTTATTAAATAATTGCTTTCCTCATCAGTGACGTATCAGTTTTTGTGTTCCGGTGATTATATTAAATTTATACTATGAGTTGTTTGTTTTTTTTTTGTGTTACGGACAGGAACAACGTAACCATTCGGTAAGTTTATCACATAATACTTTTTTGTTATTTATGGATTTAGAAAGCTGTTTAGCATTTTAGAACCTACATTCATTCGTGAGAATTAACATATTTAAATTATTAAAATCTGCCTTCTCCTTGAAAAGTTATGCCTCCCCCTAAAGTGTAGGTTGGGGGTATGAAAATGTCTTGTCAACTATATTGAGCATATCACAATCTCCTCGATTATGATTTCTTCATGAACATCTACATACAGTTCATTATCAACACCATTGACTTGCTATCATCAACTTTGTCATTTCCTGCTAACAAATAGTTAACCTTATCAAATGATTCATGGACATAGGCATTACTCTTTATGGTATCAAATGTCCTATAAATAAATTCAATAAATGAAAATAAAGCACTAGCGTTATTTATCACTACCATTGAATCAACGGACTAAATGTGCATCAACACTGCTCTGAATTGCAATGTACTTGGTAATCATATTTTTATCGTCAGCACTTTGGGACTATTACATTTTTTTTATCAATTTTGTCAATTCTTTGCACATACTATGGACTAAATCATGACCCATATTATCATTATGGATTAAATCAACATCAGTTTTATGTACCGGAGTCAATATGTATCAATTATAAGACCATCTCCATGTTTGCTTGGTGATTACCAGTGCTCATAAATTACAGCATAAACAATAATTTTCATCAATATCATCTCTTTTATGGACCAAAAATCAGTTAACAAATAAAAAATAAATTAAACTAGTGAAAAAGCAAGTTGCTGCTGCAAAATTACACCAATGTGTCTCACTTTTTCTTAGTGGAGAGACCCGTTTTGAACAAAAAAACTGCCCAACATATAATCCTTTTCTCTTCTATGGTCATGTGGCAGCTGGACCTACACAAGTACACATTCACTGGAAAATCATATCACAGATATGGCCATGATAGAAATGGACTATCAATTTCAAAATATCGTAAAATTTGTGTAATGGCCATCTTTAATGTCTGTCTTTAGGTCATGTTGACTGATTATTCCTTTAAAAATCCTAACTTTTTAAAAACAAACAAGTTTACACGTTAATTAAAGGATAAAACCAGATAAAACACAAATGTGCCCCCTCTGCAGGCAAATAAAACACCAGCGTGCCCCTTCTACAGACAGATAAAACACCTGCCCCCTCTGCAGACATCCACGTGAGACAGTAACACCCCTTCCACTGCCCAGCACTTCAGGACTTATGCCTAAACCATCTACAGAAAATACCAGACTTTGCCAACACCCTGAACACCAACAAGAAACATCTGCGGAGAGTGTGTCAATTCTTCGCCATGGCAGCAGGCAGAAGGGCACAGGCCACTGGACCTGAATGATTATGATGACACATTATTTTTTTTCTATTCAATCGTAACAACAGGATCTTTGAGCATGCAGTTTCCGAAACGCCCAGCGGCAACTTAAATTTCATTATAAGCCAATCTAAATTGTATTGTTTGATTTCATTCGATATTGCAATAAATAAAGAATAAACTACATGAAGTCATTTCTCTCCTCTTTGCCAAATGTCAACCCTAGTGGTGCAAAGCCCATCCACAAGTTTTTTCCATTGGTCTCTGCTCTGAGTTATTCTTTACAGCTTATTCCACTTCTTGATGTTTCTCTTATATTTTATGTCCCTGTTCCCCCTCCAATATGTTATGCAGTATTCCCGTCTTTATTTATACAATATTTTCCGGTGTATGAGATGACTTTTTAACCCCATGAAAATCTTTTCAAAAGTCAGGGGTTGTCTTATACGCCAGGAATTGTCTTATAAGCTGATATATGGCGTGCTTAAACTTCAGGGACAGGCGCCAATTCAAATAGCACAGAATAATGCGGCTCGCATAGTTCTCCGCAAACGAAAATTTGACCATGCAAAAACACTTCTGAGAGAGTTGCATTGGCTGCTGGTGCGTGCTCGCATAGAGTACAAAATCGCAACTTTGTGCTACCGCTGCTTACATGACCTGGCGCCGTCCTATCTGAAAGAGCTGCTGACGCCTTATGTACCCACTAGAGAGCTCCGCTCATCCAATAGTGGCAAACTCTCGACATCACGTGTTTGCCTTGAGACTTACGGAAAGGGCACTTTCCCATTTGCTGGTCCAACAATTTGGAACGCCCTTCCAGTCGATCTCAGAAACAACCAGACACTGGAGTCCTTTAAAACCGATCTAAAGACACATCTATTTCGCAAATACCTTCTGGGATGATTGTCTACCTTATTTTCCAGTTAATGCATAATGGCTGTGTTGCTCCGGGTTGAAATGGCTAGAAAGACTTTGCCATTGTATGCTTGTAATTAGTTTTTGTAGTGTTGCGTTTGTTTTAAATGTGGTAAATTATAGATATGTTTTTTGTTGACTTTGTACCGCGCTTCGAGCCTTTGGGGATGAAAGTCCTTTAAAACCGATCTAAAGACACATCTATTTCGCAAATACCTTCTGGGATGATTGTCTACCTTATTTTCCAGTTAATGCATAATGGCTGTGTTGCTCCGGGTTGAAATGGCTAGAAAGACTTTGCCATTGTATGCTTGTAATTAGTTTTTGTAGTGTTGCGTTTGTTTTAAATGTGGTAAATTATAGATATGTTTTTTGTTGACTTTGTACCGCGCTTCGAGCCTTTGGGGATGAAGCGTGTTTTTGAAATGAACTTTATTATTATTATTATTGTCTTATCCTTCTTTTCAGCTTTAGAGTGAATTAGGAAAAGTTTAATCCACTTGCACTGTTTTATGTTTACATGTTTGATGACAAACAGCCTTATGTTTATAACTGACAGTTTTCCTTCTAAGTACCTGCATGTCATAAGCATTTGAATTAAAATTACCATATCGAAATCAAATCTGATGTTTTTTTAATTTTATTTGGAGTGCATTGGAAGAGGGGTAGTCTCACATGGTGAGTATAGCCCAAACTCTACATTTTAACAGGAAAAGTAGGGGGTCGTCTTATACACCCAGTTCTCTGATATGTCGAAAAATACAGTATATTCTTGCGGATCCCAAGTGGGGACTGTAGAATTATTTTATTTGTATTTCCCGTGTCGTGTGTACAATGTACATGCCTTAAAGTTGTACACTAAGCTCAATTTAAATTAAGCTGAATTAAATTAAGGGAACTATGCCCACTAATTTTCAACTGTGGTGTTTTCAATATTTTAAGTGAAGTTATCATTTAATTACAACTTTCACGCCATTTCAGGGGACTCCAGCGACAAAATGCATTAGTGAAAGGTGATCCTATTCCAACTATTGAAGGAGCCTTGCATGTAAGTTACCTTAAATCTCTCCTCCCACCTCCCAACCCAACTGAACCCCACAACCAAACCAAACTCCCATGGTTATTAAGAAGTCTGTGTAATATTAGACTACTCAGGTTCTCTGCAAAGCAACTTGGCTGATGAACAACAGAACAAGCGAATTTTTGCATTCTAGTCAGCTAAGGTCATTGCTATCTCATTTATTTCATCCATACAAGTCATTCAGAATAATATTTCCAGGGGTTTTTTTAAATATTTTATTCACAGCTAATTATTTATCCATTCAATGCTATTTATGTCCTTTCCCAGCAAGCCATGACAGCTTTGCAACCTGCTAACAGTTTCAAAATTGTATTATCGAGTCGTACTGACAGTGGAGTGCATGCCATTAAGAACGCATGTCAGGTTGATTTGACCTTTCCGTGAGTTATCTTTAAGTCTTTTTTTTTTTTTTTTAACAAACTTTTTCAATACTTGTTCATATTTCCTTTTTTCCACTCCCTTTACATTCTACTTGTTTATTTCAAGTTTCATCTCTTTTTAGCCCATTTTGTAACCCCTATTTAAATGTCAAAGAACGCATGTCAGGTTGATTTGACCTTTCCGTGAGTTATCTTTAAGTCTTTTTTTTTTTTTTTTAACAAACTTTTTCAATACTTGTTCATATTTCCTTCTTTCCACTCCCTTTACATTCTACTTGTTTATTTCAAGTTTCATCTCTTATTAGCCCATTTTGTAACTCATATTTAAATGTCAAGTAGTTTGGTGCAAAATATATATATATATATATTTTTTTTTTTCTCTTTAATAATTGGTGAAATAAATCTGCAGTGTAAAACGGATGGGACATAATAAAAAATTCATACAAAAGATGTATAAGATAAACTATGTTTTTTAGGGGTTGTTAAATTGTTCAATGTCTTTTCTGAAATTAATTTTTTTTAAATCAAGTAAATTAACATAACATATATAATAATGGAATACTTTAAAAATTTTGTTTGTATAGAAAAAATATTCACACTTGAGCATACTTTCTTGGGATAGGGCTTAAATAAAAGGGATCCTCAATGACATCTGATTTTTAAGTATATGCCTTATCTTTATCCAACTTAATGATTAATGAGAATAAAATTTACAGCATTGTCCGGAGGTTAAATTGTCCCTTAATTGTTGCACAAGGCTTTAAACTTGAGAAATGGCACAAAAAATGGACCGCCCTCAGTCGACTATGAGAACAATTTTTTTGTTACGTTTGTTATGAACTAAAATCTTTCTAATTAGCATATTATTTTTAATTAGAAAAACAATTATCTGAAATATTTATATAGAAAAAAATGTATCCCAACAATGCCAAAACTATGATATAACTACCATAACTTATTTCTTTCCCATCTCCTATTAATATCTCTGAATGATTTTTTTCTAAAGAGAGGAAGGAAAGGAATATGAACCATCCATAATAACAAGCGTTGTCAACTACCATTTGAGAAGAAGAAAAGATGATGTCAGGTAAGTTGGTGTTGATACAGTGATCGTAAAATACAGCAGTATTTCGTAGTAATGGCGTAATTGGGAAAGGACCCTCACCGTTAAGTGAAAAACGATGGCATGTGAATAAAGTTTTTTTTTATGTGCCCGCAAGTGCCTGTAAGCAAAATTACGTACCATGTGCTAATATATAGCAAGTGTCCAATAACCCTTAGTATAAAACAATGATAGAAAGGGAACTGTACATGGTGTTTACATATATACATATATTTAGTACATACTGTGCATGATGTGCAACTGAAAAATAAATAGAAATATAAAAATTTAATTTGATTATTGCAGGCGGAGATTTTAGAGTGCTGTTATTCAAAAATATTGTTAAGAGAGTAGCTGTTATTGCAAGGTGCCTCTGTATAACCCCAGAATACGAGAAATATAAAATTTAAAAAGTTGCTGTAATTTAGTCTGCTTTAACCTGCTAACGTCTTAGTTAATTAGTTGTTTTTTTTAAACAGTTTTTGAAATACTAACATACTAACTTTATTATAAATTATGTTTTCATCCTCCAGAGTGCTTGAAACAAAACGAGTACCTGACAGCTTTCAGTGTCGTTTCATGGCCCAGGGTAGGGAATATGTTTATAGACTGGCATTTCCAAAGCAGCAAGAACTAATTGATGAAAGGCCAGTCCAACTCACACTTTCATTTGATTACAATTGCTAGTCTTGACACCTATGGAAAAATCTATATCTTAATTTAATCTAGTGTACCTGAATCAATTAATTAGAGCATAATATTTATTCAGCAAAACCATTGACACCTAGAATAATTATGTCTATACCATCCCTGACCATAATTCATGAAATATTCATTTAACAGGCAAGTAATTGCTTTTTTTAGCAACTCTTTCTGAATGAGCCATGTTATTATTCTTTTGATGCACCATGTAGCTATTACTTAAACTAAAAAATATTCAACATTTTTGGGCCTAATTTTTCATAGAAATAGGTTAATGTGAATTAATCTTGGATTAAATATCTTTTTATTATTATTTGAAGTTTTATAAATAACATGTGTTACTCTGTTTGGCAGAGAGAAACTGATGCCCAAGTTAATGAAATTCAGGTTCAACAGTAAAGGTTTTCCAATGCTTCCCTTGGGAGATATTTGTTCTGTCTTGGATGTGGACAAGACTGCACTTCTCAGGCAATCTAGTTATAGCTGTCATTGACAGCCATCATTTGTACTCACTCTGTATTATTCTTTCTTGAAATCAAAGATTGCAGTTACTTTTGTGAAATGAGTAGACATAAGATAACTTTAAAATAGTTTATAAGTCAATCCCCTGCTCTTAAACACTTACTGACATCAACTAAAAATCTTTCCTCCAGTAATAGCTTCACTCTCTATAACCATGATTTAAATATTATTGTTTTAGGGAAACGCTTGACATTGGAAAACTATTATCGGCGGCCCAACTCCTGTCGGGAATCCATAATTTTGAGTCTTTCACGGCAAACAGGAAGTCTGATGATGTGTATCAGCCGCATCCTGTCAAAATGCTGACCATTGGCGTGAAACGGGGACAGCCATTTGGTTTCCCGCTGCAAGGCCATGACTATAAAGTGAATGAGGTGCTAGAGTTCTGGGACATTCACGTACAATCAAAGTCGTTTTTATACAGACAGGTGAATAATAAGCATGCCTGTTCTCTTTTAACTTAAATTAAATTTTTTGGCTTACAAGCTTAACAATTTAAATTTACATTTATGTATTCATTTTGGGTTATGGCAATGTGTATGACATTTTATAACTCTGTGAATCGTTTAAGTCAATGTCTGTGTCTGGAATACCTTTGTTCCAGGTGCGCAGGGTTGTTGGGGCCATGGTACTTGTAGCAAAAGGCGCTATCCAACTTTCTGACCTGCAAGACATTTTAGAAAACCCACAGAAAGATTTTAAATTCTCTGGGCAAATGGTGATGAATGAGGCAGGTCTGTACCTGCTTGACGTGAAATACAATCCGAAAGGTAAAAACTGAGTTTTTATGTGACATTATTTCAGTTTATCCTGATAAGGTTAACATGGCAAGGCCATTTGTGTAGTTTATCCTGATACAGTAAACATGGTGAGACCATTTATATCATGTAAATAAATGTAATAATTTATATTAAATTAAATAAAGTATTTCCCGCGGAGCAGGCAGCATAATAACCATTTTTTTTTTAAGCATGAAACAAAACATTACCTCACATGCTCGCTGTAAAAAACATTAGACTGGTAAACATTAAACCACTTAAAATTTTTTTTAGCATTGTTGTGATACTTGTAACTATTGTTGTGATACTTGTAACTATTGTGATACTTGTAATTGCCAACATGTTCATAACAAAAATACTATCAACATTCCACTAATAACTTTTAACAGTTGGTTTGAACAAAACAAAAAAATTGGGGGGACATTTAGAACTAAATCGTAATTTGGCCTGCGTTAGCCTACAGCAAGTCATTAAGAAAGTAGCTGTACACATATTTATTTTCTTTCACAGATTTAATATTCAGCCCCACAAAATCCACTGAAGCATCTGCATCTGGCCTGTTGTGTGAAAAGGAAGAAGAAATGGCAGAAAAACCAGTTGATGGTTTGGATGAGGACTCAACATCAGATTTTGATAATCTGAGACCCAGGCCTGAAGTGACAGCATCCGAAACAGATATTTTGATACCCGAGGCTGCAGTGACGGCTGATCCAGACCATCAGTTGACAGCTATAAAATAATTAATTTGTTGCCTTCATTGTTGTTGAAATGTAATAAAAGTGTTTTTAAGAAAACATTTAATTTATGATTTGTTTTAAAAATGATTTTTTTTTGCAGTTTATTTAAAACTCTCATAGTCAAAGCTTTTAATTTGAACATATAAGCACAACATTTATTTACCAGGTATATACTATATACTGCCTTTGAAAATTTACCATAAACTGGACAACAAAATGTGTTCTTTAAAAGAAAAATTATATTTTTATTTTCATCTTTTTTTTCCCAGCAGAGATAAAAATGTGGAAGAGAATGTAGAATTCAAGAGGCAGTTAGAAATCTTAGAGTCAATCAGTTTAAAAGGAAGAGAGTATCAACAACAAGTAACAAAGTGATGTGACTATTTGGCAACAATTCAATTTCACACCTAAGGAATACACTCACACATTTGATTGTCATTATTTACCTTACATCCACATTAAAATTTCATTGTCAGAATTGAGAAAAAAAATTTAGATTTTTTTTTTTTGTAGCTCAACTAGAGATCTACAAAACAATGTTAAAATAATTTTTCTGCTTGTTCTGTATTCCTTTTTAAATTAAAAAATAATCAGGTCATCAGCTAGTCAAGACTAAATTTCCACTAAAATTTGTGAGGGTAATGAAAGTTCATATAAATGTGACCAAAAAAATCAATGCCGTAATACTTTAAAATATTATCTTATTAAAGACATTGTCCTAAATAAGATTTACTCTACTAAACACTTTTAAAAATGCAATTGCACAATATATTTTTTAGCCGTAGAATACCTTGCCCTTCTGATAAAACAGTTTAGAGAGAACAAAAGCCAGTAAATTCAAGCATTTAAATCCTTGACAAAATAAAAAGAATTGTTATAATAATTTTTTGTTTCAATTTAAAAAGTTACATATCATTTATAAATAGTCCCATTCTTTCATGTACAGTACAGCTTTTGTGGGTTTGCAAGTGGAAATACAGGTATCTGGGCATAATATAACAGATTTGGAAAATACAAGACAATAAGTAGAAAATAATTTTATCGATGAAGCATTTAGTGATTGACCCTTGACTGATCATGTTACCTCTGGCTACTGGTTTACGCAGTGAGAACAAAGTGGGTGCATGCAATTTGAGTTTAAAAGGCTAAAAAAATATAATTTTTACTTATTTTTTATATAATGAGATGAAGTAAAACAATCACATAAAGGTTATTTTATTTTACAAAAATAGAATGTGTTATGATCTCTTTAAAGTATTTTTCATTGTTATATCACAGGACTCCCCAGTGTATGTCTTCTTTTGTTTAGTAATAACTAAACTATGACTTTTCAATAATATTATTTTGGAATCGGGTAAACACAAAACAGGGTGTCGAAAATTTGGCTATGCACTTATTTTTTCATGAGAAGTAATAAATGGTTAAAAAAATATTAATCTGAATCTGAGTTGCATCCAGTGCCATGGTAAATACAATGTAAAATTCGATTTGAAAAATTACTATTTAATTTGCTCTTAATTTCAGTTTATTTATTTATCAATGAAATCATTTTCCTTCACTTTAATTCTAATTAAACAGATGCATTCCGAGTGGTAACCTAATATTTAAAAAAAAATTCTAATTACATATTGCACTGATGACTCAATGTAAGTAATTAAAATTAGGACTTCAGTAGGCTTAATCGGAGGTTAAGTTCTTGGCATCAAAAAATGTCTTATAAAGTAATAAAAAAAATGTTGTCCCCCAATGCATGCATTCTTGTGAACATGATATTAATAAATCAAAACGAAAAAATATTAAGCCTCAATAAGTTAGCAATAATCTAGAGACGTTATCTGATAAATACAAAAGACGAATATAAAAAAACTGCTTTCATATAATTTCTTATTTGTATTCAGCACCACAGAATGGAACCAATTTGTATAAAGCAGTCAAAGACTCTATAAAGCACCAACTTTTATAAATGTAAACATCTATTTTTATGAAAGAATTGATTAATTCAACAAAAAAAAAATGTGCGGTTTAATGCAATAGCATAACACTTGATTAGTTTTAAATTAATTTTTATTATTTTGTTTGTAGCGTCTGTTATTTTTAACATGCTTGTTAAAATTAGCACAATTCAGGGGCTACAACTTATGTAACTACTGCTCTCCGTAAGTTTTCTGGATTGTGTTCCCTTGTGCAACTAAATAGTCGGATCTTTCTTGCTTTTTCCTATCAAAGATTGAAGATGGCTTTGGCTGGGCTGTGAGAGTAAATAATTTTAAGAAAACAATTAGAACGAAACACTTTCAGTTAAACAATAACTCAAGCTTGTCTCACTTTAAAGTTTAATTAAAGAGTAAGAAACGCCATAACGAACCAGCGGCCCTTAAACTTTTTTTTGTAGCGCCTAACATACTCTTAATTTTCGAAACATTTCCCTCACTCCCATCTCGATTTCATAAAATAATTGCCTTACCCCACTTACGATAAAATGCTAATAAAGATGAAAATTAACATATCCCCACCCTCTTTTTTTCCCCGTGGCCCGCTGAGTCTGCCTCCCGCATCCCAGGCTTAGAACCCCTGCCTTAAATCATATTCTCCCAGTTCACAAACTGGCACAATGCTATACGACAGGACTTTATATCAAGAAGTGATTTTTTTAATACTCAAGGGCGTAGCGAGGTTATGGTAAGATGCAGTTTGTATTCTTGCCCTCCTCCCAACCCCAGTGGCATAAAAAAAAGGGGGGGGGGGTGCGCAGGTGTGACTTTTTTCCCCTTTATATATGGAGGGGCATCATTTTCGTCCAACTCCAGTTTGTGGGAAACAAAAAAAATTCGTGGAAGGGAAACGGCAAAAATGTTGGCCCGCCCCGAAGCGGTGATGTGAATATTAGCAGGGTGTGCATATAACGTTCTGAAAATTACGCCCATACACCGTTACCCTGCCTGGGCAGATCACGTTCAGAACATTACGACAATAATAATATACAAGTTACCTTGCTGTGCGTGTACCGGGGCCATGGGCTGTGCTGGCTGATGTGATAAAGCAGACTGTGGTGGCTCCCCGGACCCTAGTTGGGCCTCCAAGATCTTGTACGTCTTCGGGGTCACGTTTCGGAAACTGGACCCCTCGTTCATGTGGGGGTTGATGCTTCCCTCGTCCAACTCCACTCTCTTGTTGGACTGACCAACGCCGCACGCGGCCTTGACCTTAGGATCTGCAGTGTTGACCACACCCCTACGGAGGACAAAATTTGACCCGACGACTAAAATAGTGTTGACAAACAACGAACATAGATCAATTAAATTGCTTGTTGAACGCAAAATGAAAAGGGGGGGGGGGAGAAAATCTCAAGAAATGTATCTTGAGTTGCACTATAATTAGATTAGGGAGAGGTTATGAGCAGTAGACAAAAAAAAAGGGGGGGGGGTGGATTCAGTGCCAGATTAAGACCCTCGGAGGCCCCTAGGTAGACGATTTTGCCCCCACACCCTCGAAAATCATACCTCAATTTTGAGTTTGAATAAAACTTTGGTTAAATACGTTGGCAGTGCTGAGACAAATCAACGCCTGAGACGAGGCCTGACCATTGAGTGAAAGTTTGTAGATCCATTGGGGGGTGGGAGGGGGATTCAGGCCCTCCCCTAAATTTTGTTAATAAATTCGAACGCAAGGTCGCATTATAGCGCATAAGTGAATTTAGTTTTTCATCATAAAATGATGCTATGAGTTTTATTATTTTATAGTCATTGATTTTGACTGGAAAATGCCCTTCACAGTCACCTTTTTTTCACCCATTAGGGTGAATAGACCTATTTACAATAATTTAGGTAAATTGCCTGGGGCAGCCACTTAATTAGTCCACCACCCCACCTCTCCTTTACGTACGACCCTGGGTATGGCTCTCTATACAGCCATTTTGTAGGCTGTGCACACAGGCTGTGCCCAGAGCCCTAAAGGTCTTAATCCGCCCATGTGCACACAGGCTGCGCCCAGAGCCCTAAAGGCCTTAATCCGCCCATGTGCACACAGGCTGTGCCCAGAGCCCTTAGGGCCTTAATCCGCCCATGTGCACACAGGCTGTGCCCAGAGCCCTAAAGGCCTTAATCCGCCCATGCATTTTTGCAATGAAAAAAAGTCATTGTTGCAGGGCTGATATATCATAAGACCAAATGAGAGCGTGTGTGTCGCTAACCAATAAAGAGAGCGTCATTTAAAAAAAAAATTTTTAAACCCAATGAAAATCCTTTAGAGATATTACGACTGAGAAACAAAAAAGTCTTTATGCTTCACTTGCCTTTAAGCCTTTAGGTTAATCCGTTACTGGGTGGACTGCTTATATCCGCTAAATATAGAGCGGTATTATTATTATTTTTTTGTTTACTGTATAGTGTATAGGCAAACTGTCAATGAAGTCAATGCCTTGATATTTTTGTCAAGACATTGTGTCTGGAATACTCTGGAAGGCAGCGATATCAGATGACAGATATCACATAGTAGATATCAGATGAAAGATATCAGATAGGAAATATCAGATAATTTTCAAGGCAACCAACTCATCGCCATAGTATAAAAAAATTAAAAACTCCTCAAATCCACAAATATAAAAATCTCACTTGCTCTTTTATGTATTACCTCACTGCATTTAAACTTTAAACTAAGAGAAGGAAGAAGAAAACGTAATAAACTTTTTTTTTTTCAAGGGAGCGCATCTAAAATCTTCAAGACTTATTTTGTTGAATCACGTAACGCCCTCTATACAGATTTTGCTCATTTGTTTTCTCTGCTATTGACGTCAAAATTCGTTTGACGAGCTTCTGAGACTGCGATGAGATATCACAGTCGTTTTTATTTAACCACGAACTGAAAGCTGCTAGATGCCGTTTCCTCGCAACAGTCTCGCAGGCTATAGAGACTAACATTTATTTTCGGTTAAAATTCTCTCCCTTGGAAACTGTGTTGTGAGCCCCCCCCCCCCCCCCCCCCCCCAACCTCTTTTCTTTAAACAAAAATGAACAGACTATAACAATGTTCCAGGTGTATACTCACTGTTTATATTA